CAAAGGATGGGATGCAAATCCTGTTTAAGGGTGGGGAGTGAGGTAATCCAGATCATCAGTTCTCCCCTGCTATCCCACCTAAGATGACTGCTGGAAACAACTAAGCTTGAGCTGGGGGAAGGAATTGGGCCCAGACTAGAAGGATGTCCAGTCTGTGAAGATTATTAAAAAACCTTTAGGGTGCAATATTACATGTAACTAGTTTCTTTAGTTTCTTAAACTTAGCTTGTGTTTTGTTTTATTTTGCTTAGTAAATATACTTTATTCTGTGTGCTAACTCTTATAACCACTTAAATCCTATCTCTTTATAGTTAAAGCCCTACCAAATTCATGGCTATGAAAAAACCTGTCAGACCATGAAATTTGGCCTTCTGTGTACTTTTACACTACGCTATACAGATTTCACAGGAGAGACAAACACTTATCTTCACATAAAAGGGAGTTGCAAGGGGTTACAAGGTTATTTTAAGGGGGTTGCAGTATTGCCACCCCTACTTCTACACCGCATTTACAGCTGGGCAGTTGGACAGTAGCAGCTGTTGGCTAGGTGCTCAGCTCTGCAGGCAGTGCCTCAACAACAGTAGTACAAAAATAAGGATAGGAATACCATACCATGCTACCCTTACTTCTGCACTGCTACCTTCCGAGTTGGACAGTCGGAGGGTGGTGGCTGCTGACTAAGGGTGCAGCTCTGGTATCCCCGCCACTCTGAAGGCAGCATTACTGTCAGCAACAGCATAGAAGTAAGGGTAGAAGTAGCATCCTCCTACAAGAACCTTGTGATCCCACCTCAACTACTTATGTGAGGTTCCTTATAATTATTACACCATGAAATTTCAGCTATACATAACTGAAATCATGAAATGTATCATTTTAAAAATTCTGTGACCATGAAGTTGATCAAAACAGACAGTGAATTTGGTAGGGGCTTATTTATAGTTAATAAAATATTTTTTATACTTATTGTATTAAATATAAATAGGGCCCTACCAAATTCACTGTTTGTTTTGGTAAATTTCATGGTCATGAATTTTAAAAAGCATTTTTTTAAAACCAGTTTAAATAATTATTACTAGGGAGCAGCCAGGAGTCCGTGCAGCTCTCTTTACATTGAGACAGAGGGCAAATTTCATGAGTTTATATAGGTATCTATATAGCATAAGATGCATTTATTTAGGGTTCAGCTCCCAGATTGTCTATGTCAGTGGTACACCCAAGATCACTTTTTAAATGTCAGAACAAGCCAAGATCTACCGCCCCATCCTTCCCCCAAGACCTCGCCCCTTCCTTGAAGCCCCACCCTCTCTATTCTCCTCCTCTCCATCACTTGCTATCCCCAGCCCTAATACACTCTACACTGCCACTGTTTTCCCCCCGATTCTTCCGTAGGAAGAGGTTTTTCTAGACTGGACCAAATGTCAGAAAAAAACCTTCTTTTGGCAGCCCCCTTATTCCTCGTGGAACTAGGAGTACAGGGGTTACCTTAAGAGCATGTTTGCACTTCCACACACAAAAAATGTGGAAGAACAAATGTGTGAATAGTTTTTCCAGGATATCTCTGGAACCCTGGAAAAACTGCTGCAGTCTAGCCATACCCTCACTCGGTTGAGACAGGATGTGTAGACTCTGGGGTGGGAATGAGGGATTTGGGTGTGGGAAGGGGTGAGAGGTGCAAGCTCTGGGAAGAAATCTGGATGCAGGAGGAGGTGGAGAAGGGGACGCTGGCTCAGGGAGGGAGCGCCAGGCTGGGAAGTGTTGGGGTCAGATGGAGGGTTGGGCTACTAAGCAAGCCTTGCGGATGTGAGGGTGCAGGAATTTGGATTGGGGTTTGTGAGGGGCTCAGGGCAGGGGGGTGTCCAATGTATGATAGGCTCAGATCTAGAGTCTAGGGAGGGGGGCAGGATTGTTATGATGCTATGACCAGATGGAAGCTTGGCCCCAATTGGGGGTTTGCTGGCCAGGCTTCATTTTTAAATAAAATACTATGTCAAACACAAAAAATTTCCGCATTGTCTTTATTTATGAGAAGGGCAGGGAACCTGTTTTAAGTCAGGGGTCACTGACCCACAGAAAAGTCAGTTGGGGCTATACAAGTGAGATGTAAAAAAAATAACTCCTCCAAAACTCTCCCAACCCTCACTAATGGGGCCCCAACTGTGCTGGTGGGAGCAGAGGACATGGTACTGGGGAAGGGTGCTGGGGCAGGGGACAGGGTGCCAGTGGGGGCAGGGGACAGGGTGCCAGTGGGGGCAGGGGACAGGGTGCCAGTGGGGGCAGGGGACAGGGTGTCCCCCGCACCTGCCTTCTCCCGGGATTCCTCTCCCCTCCCCTCCACCGGGGGCAGGGGACAGGGTGTTGCAGGAGGCAGGGGGCAGGGAGTCCCCCGCACCTGCCTTCTCCCGGGATTCCTCTCCCCTCCCCTCCACAGAGGAGGGAAGCCCCAGCGCATGCCTCCTCCAGGGACGACAACCCCCCTCCCACAGAGCAGGGAAGCCCAGGTGTGCACCTCCTCCAGGGATGACTCCTCCCTCCCTCAAAGAAGGGAAGCCCCGGCACAAGCCTCCTCTGGAGGCTCTCCCAAACCCCTGCAAGTTCCTGGCATGCCACAGACGTGGGGGAGGGGGAGCAGCCAGCGCACTTCTGTAATCCCCAGAAATGGTGCACAGCTGCAGGACTTCTGTCCACCCCACAGGAAGCCAGCACTACCTCCATTGTCACTGGAGGTAGATAGCGGGGCTTCTTGGGGCTGGGGAGGCCCGAATGCCTAGCAATTGACCAGTAGATTGCGATCAATGGGTTGGTGACCCTGGGTCTAGAGAAACTGCATCTTGCCATTAAACATGTCATGGCTTGGCTAGATAGTTCTATGCACATTCTAAATAACTAACTAACCTCAGAAATATTTATGGAGTTTTATATCAGTTTCAGAAGTTAATTAAAATTCTTTAACTACTTCAGTATTCAAGTGCTTTAATTTCTATTCCACTACCTTCTATCCACATCTCCGATCCCATCTTTCTCACCTGTTTTCCATATTTCCTCAATAACAAACCCCTTTCTATTTGCCTTTCTGTAGCCAGTAGTCTCTGCATGCTGTTGAAACTGATCAGCGGCTGATTCCAGGAAGCCCAGGGCAGAGCAGCTCTGCCTCGGGCTTCCTGTAGTCAGCCACTGGTCAGTTTCAGCAGCGGCTGAATCTGGACGCCAGTTCCGACTTACATACAAATTCAACTTAAGAACAAACCTACAGTCCCTACCTTGTACGTAACCCGGGAACTGCCTGTACAAGTATATGTGTCAGGAGGTGAGTGTGAAAGGGAGAGAGCTTGTGTGACCCACAGATAAGGGAAACGGTGTGTGTAACACAGTTTGTGTGTGTGTGTGAGCTAACTATTGAGGAAATATCAGGTTAACATTGCACTGTCTCTTTAAGAAAGGGATGTGCCCCTCAGAATACAGCAATAGTCTTCCTGAGCCAGACTCAGTCCCCTCTGCCCTGGTCTGTGGTGACTGCTAATGGGGTATAAGAAAAGAGAGAGAGAGAATTTGTGTGTGTGTGTGTGTGTGTGTGTGTGTGTGTGTGTGTGTGTGTGTTAGTTAAGAGGAGATAGAGTCTATCTGTGAGTGCGTGTATGAAAGACAGATTGTGAGCTGGCTGCTGGGGAAATCTAAGGAACAAACTGCCTTTTTAAGAAAGGTAGTCACTCGCCATTCCGACTGCAGCAGTTCAGAGTTCTCTCCTGAGCCAGGCTGTGTCCCCCTCCCCCTTCTTCTCTGCTTTGTGGAGTTTGGGTACATGGCCAAGGGGATACCCTGAAATTAGCAGTGCCCCTGATTGCCCTTCCAACCCCAGCATCCCTCCCTGCTCTGCACAGCCAGCAGGAGTGTCAGGTCCCTCCTGGGAGCAGCTGTAGGACAGCATGAGAAAGGGCACTAGAACACATGCTGCTGGCTATGCATGCTCTACTGAATCCGAGTGTGTGAAATTCTCTTGAACAGCCACACACATGCATAGTTTACAGGGAACACAGGACATAAACAGGCACACATAAGTCCAAATATTTGTGTGATCAATATGCAGATCTGAAACTGCAGAAGTCTGCATAAGCCATAAGTGCTTCATAAAACAAAGTGACAAAAAAATCCAAACCAAAACAAAAAAACCCACACCAGCTAACACTGCAGTTTAAACCTCAAAGGGTTAAGACAGATAAGAAAATCTTCCACAACTTTTGAAGCTACACTCCCAGCTCTTTGTCTTGTAGCAATGTGTAGGGTTCCTGTAAGCTACACATTACAGCAAAGAATTCTCATAGGGAAAGGCTGAGAGAGTGAGATACTACACTGCTAAAATGGCAGAAGAGATGTGGGATGCACTAATTGGCATGTAGAAATCCTTAGTAGGACATTTTACTCTATTCACCTAAAGCATTCTTCACTAACTAAGCTGCTATTTGCACCCGTTAGCTGGGCATACAGTGTTTGTATTCTACATACTCCTGTAAGTGTAGGCCTCACTTTTATTTGATTTAGGTGTTGACAGTTTTGATGTTGTCTCTGTTAGGCTCCAAACTATGTGTAAGCTTGAAAGCTCATCTCTCTCACCAGCAGAAGATGGTCCAATAAAAATATTACTTCACTCACCTGTGGAACTAACATGACATTTCAGACCATCACCGTTCACTCTTCTTGTATGTTATAATCCTTCCCCCGATATCTGTTATTTGTCTTGTCTACTTACAATCTAGATTTTAAAAAGTTTTATGCCATGTTTTCACAGTATGACTGAGCACACTGGGTTACAATCTTAACTGGGGTCCCTAAATACTACATAATACAAATAAATAATAATAAATAGAATACAGGTAATGGTAAACTACATTCAGTGTTTTGAACACATCTAATAAAATACAGAGACTATCACGTCTACAGATAATTTTCCTACTATGTATTAACATCGATTTCTTTTCCATTTTAGCAGTAAAACCTGTGGAACCTACCTTCACCAGTGGATTAATAACACCAACATTAGGACTTGCATTAAACACTTTGTTGAAGTTAGTCTCTCTGTTGACTAGTTCCAGCTGATAGAATTTTTTGTCATCCTAATAAAGCACAAGAAATATAAAGTTCTCTTTATGCATTTTCCATTCGCTAATGGCAAGATATGTACATAAAATGGTTTCCGACATATTCAGTTTTAAACCTTTATTCCTTACCAATTACAATCAATCCATTATTTAAAATGTATGTATTATCTTATAAACAATGAAAGAAACACTAAATAATTTACATTAATGGGTTTCTGTTATGTACATTTTTTGCTTGAAAGAGAGCATGGTCTAGTGCAAGGCTACTCAATGCGCTGCCTGTGGGCCGCATGCAGCTCACGGCCCATTTGTTTGAGGCCCACAGTGTGTTTTGGGTTTACACAGGGCTCAACATGCTGCCCACAGATGGAATCATTTGAACGTGGCCTCCACTGGGAACATGCTCCACAATGGCGAGGCGTCTCTCAGGCTGGGTAAGCATTAGAAAGACGCAAGTGGATGGGCTGGCTGGAACAGATGGGGTACAGGGTGTCAGTGTTTCTAACCCCCAAAGAGGTGGTGCCAGGAGCGCCAGGGCATTGTATGAAAGAAGCTATTTGCATATATATTTGTATGTATATGCAACCACACTTAAGATGCGGACCTCAGCATGTTCTGTGAGTATCATTGTGGCCCCCGGGGCTTCCGAAGTTGAGTAGCCCTGGTCTAGTGGATTGTGAATAGGCAGAGATCCACAAGGCTCAGTTTTTGCTCTGTTATATAAGAACATAAGAAGTTTTTGCTCTGTTGCTATCCACTTGTGTGGCTTTAGTCAAATACATCCCCATCAGAAAAGCTGCATTAAAAACCCCCCTAAAGGCTAAGGAGTGAGCCTTCGCAAGTTCCCCGAATTTCAAATGCTTTACATTTTCAAAACATTGTATGAACTTTTAACTAATCCACACAACATTACTACACAGTTGCTAAAAACAATCTCATTATAATATGCTGGGTGTCTACAACTCCCCAAATAAAGCTACAGCAGCCTGACAGCTGATGTTCCTAATTCAGCAACAAGCGCTTTGAGCCATGGAGTTTCAGAGTTGTATGGTTGTAATCAGTTTCTCCTTTATTAAGCTGATTTTCTCCATCTTCACCTGTCTAAAATCCTGTTTAAGGTCCTGTCTGAATCAAATTTTGTATGTATGGTTTATGATCAGAGCAACTTTTTCTTCTTTTTGGTGCCAAAAGTGAGGTAAATTGAACACGCCATTTTTGAGATACGGAAGCTGGGAAAATTAGATGTGGATTATATTTAAGACAATGCTATTTTGTCACGAAATATTTCAGAGATAGTTTGACATACAAATTTCAGATTGTTTTTTTCAAGCTTTTGAATGTCTATGCTTAAAAAAAACCCTTGCTTTTTCATTTTGTAAGCTGTTCATTGCTGAATTAGGATCATCAAACATTCCATCAGGCTGCTGGAGGCTTAAGAGTCACTAAACCTTGTAAGATTTGTCAAGAGTCTGACATAGTAAAGTTCAGCAGAAGGACTGTCAAAACCTTTGCTTTTTCATTTTGTAAGCTGTTCATTGCTGAATTAGGAGCATCAAACATTCCATCAGGCTGCTGGAGGCTTAAGAGTCACTAAACCTTGTAAGATTTGTCAAGAGTCTGACATAGTAAAGTTCAGCAGAAGGACTGTCTGGTGTTAAAAATGTAAGCACCACAAGGACAACTTATATCCTCTTCTTGATTCATTAGTACAGAAAGTGGTAATGGTGCCCCCAAACTCTCGAGATCACACAGTCTAGCACATTAAACACAAGACTGGGAGCCAATCCCCATATTTTATTCTCATCTTTACAATTCTGCACAGGTTCATTAGACATAGCACTTCAGTGGGCTAGAGGATGACCTTCACGATATGCTGAAGACTAGACCAACCCCCTTTACAGCCACACGATTGTACCAAAACCAGCTCAGCCAGACAAGAGAATCCAGCCCATTATTTATCCATCTCACAACATTCCTATAGTATATCTTACCCATTTTACAGGATTCAGAAAATATAACAGACCTGTCCAAGGTCACATAGCAAGCAACTCTTAGAAGCTGGGTTAGAACCAAGGACTCTTGACTCACAGATCAGTCCTTCTCTAGTAAACTACAGAGTACACCAGGACATTAACTTTGCTTCTGAGGAATGTTTTCTACATAGGCAAGGGTGTGGGGGAGACTCACGAATATATAAACTGAGATGGAATGGAAAGAATTAAGGGAGTGGACATTTGAAATATTTTCTGCTGAAAGAAAAGCAGGTTTAGGAACAAAAAGTAAGAAGTTATAATGAAATAGTCATGCTCTGATGAAAAGTTTGTCTTACTGATTTAAACATATGTTCTTAAATATTTCATTTTCCTAGAGTCATGGGTTCAAATCTAGGCAGGAGTACCTTACTCCTCTTCTTCAAGGTTGATAAAATGGAATTTTGAGATTTTTCAAAAAGAAACATAACTGAAATTCTCCCCATCCACCACATTATTACTGTGGTACAGTATAGCAGGGGCCACACAGATGTGAAAGGAACAAGTAGAACATAAATGTTAATAAACTTGAGTTAGTGGAACTGGTGTGTTACAATAAAAGGTTACTGGGGAAACAAACCTGCTCTTTCCAGTATTCTCTGCCTTAGTAGAAAAAGGTACCCATACCTTTTACTACATCACCCAGCGTGCCCAGACACGTTACGTTTTCACATTACTCCCTTTGCCACCCACATCTCTTTCCCAAATCCAATGAATGCAGTCCAAAATGGATGTGGCATTTATATCAGCTATTTAGCTGAAAGGTTGGAATCTTAGAACTAGCTATTGTTTTCACACTTTGATTCTGATAGTGAAGATCTTCCAATCAAAAATACAACATTGTGTCATTCAGCTAAAAAAACGAAGGAAATTCCAAAACACAATGTTTAAGCCTTGAATAACTTCAGAGAAAGAAACACCACATAATGTTGTAGTTTAAGAAAAAATTATCCCCAAAAGCCAGGAAATTCATTTATACATTGTTCTTTCCACTGGAAAGTATGACACTGTAGTTATGGTACCCCAAATAATTTTATGTCTGCCCTCATATTCCTGCAAATCATCCACTCAAAATCACAAGAGTCTATTTACACATGACAATTGTAAGCACATATTACCATCACACTATAACATGCTCAATATATGAATATATCCACCACCTATTCGTTATACTGTATGCATGCTACCTACTCAACCAGAGACTAATCTTCAGTTCACCTTCTCTTGACAAACAGTAGTAACACCAACATTTTGCCTCTCGAGAAAAGACTAATGAATGGTCTTGTGGTTAACGCACAGAATTGAGTGTTAGGAGACTACGACACTAAGCTTGTCTTGATACTGTGTCTCAATTTTAGTTGTACAATGGAGATAATAATACTTACCTGTTTTACAAAGGTGTTATAAAGCTAATGTAATTGTTGTTTATAAAGCATGTATATTGAGAGCCTCAGATGGCAAACACTATACAAGTGAAAAACAATAAATTTCATATATATCCCAAGACCTACAATATTTAACTCCCATCCTCTTTTCCCAATAGAACTCCCTCACATTATTTTAATATTTCATTTTCCTCAATGATTGAGCTTTGTGATAATGCAGATTTCTTAATTTTAGTATTGTTTACAGTTAACATTTGTATACTTTTTTGCAAAAGTCATGGCCAATATGGTTTAAGATGCCCACAGATGCAGGCAAAACACCAGTGTACACAGGTTTTAAGATGCACTCAGCTACCAGACTTACTGTCTGTTTTTCAACATGCCACTTAGCCATGGGAATATAACTATCTTACACTGAGGGCACCTATAGGATGGTACAGATCCAAAGGTGGGAGTAAAATTATTTGGCATTCCTTAATTCCATATTCCCATACTTTCCAATGCATATATGTTTTATATTCGATAGGCTGAACCTCTCTAGTCTGGCACCCTCGGGTCCTGCAACATTAGTGGTCCGGCATGATTTTAGTTAGTTGGATATCCATTTACCATGGATGTGGTTAAGCTTTCCCACAGTCCCATAAAGTTTATTTATGACAAATTCTCTGGTTCAGCATAGGTCATGTCTCTGTGGTGCCAGACTAGAGACATTCAACCTGTATTTAAGTAACCTTAACTTGGAATTTTCTGACTTCCAGGCACTTATGCGTTAAGAGAGTATTGTAATATTGAAACGGGTGGTTTTTTTGGGAACTTACATTTTTATATGTGTTTACAATATTAAGCCCAGTTGTGCAAACATTTAGGTATGTGCTTAACTTTACTACTGTATTTTCAGTTAAATCAATGGGACTACTGCAATCAAGTTAAGTGTATGCATAAATATTAGTACAACTGAGACCTTAAAATCAACTTTAATCAAGTTTTTTCAAGGAATCAGACTAATAGATATATCTGTTAATACATTAGTACCAGAAAGACCACAAAATGTCTTACAATCAGTTTCTTTATGAGTTGGTCCCTTTCTGCAATCAAGTCTTTCAACTCTGCAATAAGCTGTAAATCTTCTGGTCTTGATTCCCTGTTTTGATATTTCTCTTCCATTTCTTCTAAACTTCACAGGAGAAAAAGAAATCACCTTTAATTTAATGTTGTCCAGAATTAAATTCCAAATGAATACAACCAGACCTTTGATAAGTATAATGAGGTATTCATTCAGGCTATGTTTTATTTTTATCCCTCATATAATTAACATTTTAATATAAATCAAAATTACTGGTTAAAGAAGTTTAAATCTTAACTTCAATATAAACTACCATCTTTGCTATGACAAACAATATTTTGGGAAAGATTTTGAAAATTCATCATGCTTTCTGTGTGTGCAACAATGGACACCAATTAAAAGGCCTAGTTTAAGCTAGATTGAAAATCAGGCCCTCTGAGCAAATAAAAATATGTGCAGTGGAATGACAAGATGTGGCAGATAAGATCAGTTCTTGTGTGCTGTACAGAGACTAAACATTAGCATCTAAAGAGTTTCAGAGGGGTAGCGCCATGCTAGTTTGTAACTTTAAAATTAGCATTTAACTTTATCTTAAACCTGAATTTGCTGAAGCTGGCAATATGCAGCTCAATTAGATTTTTCTGAGAAAAATAAAATAAAATATTTCCTTTAATAGATTACTAGACTGTAAAAAGGTGCATGGTTGTGGTACTGAAGAAAGAGAAAAGAAAGACACAAGGGTGGCATCATCTTCCTCTACTCAAGTGGAGAACAGTGGGGCAAAGATATCCAGGAATGGTGAAGACTAATTTGTAACTAATTCCTGTCCACAAAACCAACAAAGTACCATCAGAGAGATGGAATAAAAGGAAATAGCTGAAAGAGACAGACAAACACCTGAATATTAGCATTTAATAAGGCAAGTAGAAGTTGATTAAGTTGAGAAAAATACAAGGAAATTTACAGAGTGGGAAAGCATTAAAGGAGAGAACGATTATAAGCCAGCCAATTTAGTGAACAATTGTAGGAGAAATAGCACAGGAATTCTTGAAACTTTTGAGTTTTCAGAAGATAGATTAAAAATACCACTTGTCACGAAAATATTATTCTCAAATTCCTAACAGAAATCAAACTCATGATGTGAAATACTGCCCACTAGATTGTTACTGTCTGCCAAATCCAGATGTTGTACAGGTTACTGCCTTGAGTTTCATCATGAATACAGATAATTTAAACAAGCTTTTCCATAAAAGGGAAAAAAGGGGGGAAAACTACAATTTAAGGTGTTAAGTCAGACGTATTTTAATTCCACGTAGCTTTCTAAGCTACAGATCTCTTCACATTTCATGAATATTTCCCCTTCAGAAGCAGTTATGTAATTTTAACTTTGGCCTTACATGACTGTCTACATCTGGGACTCATTAGAATGACATCAATTGATAAACTGAGCAAGTACAGTCCTTCTTTCTATCTCCTAATATGAGATTGTTAACCCTCACTAAGGCTACCTCTAGACTGCAAGCCTCTTTCGAAAGAGGCTTTTTCGAAAGATACTTTCAAAAAAGCCTCTTTCAAAAAAGAGCGTCTAGACTGCAACCAGTACTTTCGAAAAAGCAAGCCGCTTTTTCGAAAGAGAGCAGTCTGGATGCTCTCTTTCAAAAAAGCACAGTTTGCATTACATAGCGCCTTTTTTCCGAAAGAGCATTTTCGAAAAAAAAGCGTTATTCCTCGTGAAATGAGGAGTACTGCCGTCGAAAGAAAAGCCACATTCTTTCGATTTAATTTTGAAAGAACGCGGCTGTAGTCTAGACGCAGGTGAAGTTTTTTTGAAAAAAGGCTACCTTTTTTAAAAAAAAACCCTGCAGTCTAGACACAGCCCAAGTGACAGAGGAAAAAGTTTAAATGGGTCACCTATTTAAACAAGTAATCTCCCCAGATGACTAAGGTTGCCAGGTGTCCGGTTTTGAACTGGACAGTCCAGTATTTGAGCTTTCTGTTTGGGAAACAAATTGAGAAAACATAAGTGAGAAAATATGAATGTCCAGTATTTTCTAAATAAGATGTAATGTAGATTGTGATGTAATGTCAAGTGTGTCTGTTGTTTTTATTGAAAGCATCTGGCAACCCTACAGCTTCCGGGTGGTTTACCTTTTTGGCCATGATGGGGCATAGAGATCTCTTCCAGCTGGTGAAGCTCTCCAATAATTAAAGGGAGTGAAGGCCTTATGACTAAATCAAGCAGATGACTGGAGATACAGCAACTAACATGGAATGAATGCATGATGTTGGCATGAGGAAACGCGATCAAGGACACCAGAATGAGGAGTGGCAGTACTGTATATGGGAAGAAGGAACTTCAGTCACACTTCTCCATAATACACTGGGGTTCCCAAGCAGTTTATTGGTCTTATTCTGCCACCATGCAGAACTGTGTAGCAGCTGCATGATGCAAAAGGCAATGCATATTCTGATCTTTAGGAAGCTAGTACTTTCTGAAACTCTTCTTTCTGAAATGTGCAATAACAAATCCATTGTCTTAAAATTCAGATAATAAAATTCTCACATGATGAGACAGCCATGACTATAGTAAGCATTTGAAAAACTAGTCCTGCTAACCAAGATTTATTAATGCCTCATGCCCCAAATCACCATATAATGAGCTTATATAACATATTTTAACAAAATACCTCAAATGCAGACAACATAATTGCATCTTCAAATGCAGAAAAAGCTTTCGATTCAGCAGAATGGAAATACACTCAGTGGCTTTAATTTTGTCAATAAACTTTCTGCTAGGGTAAGCTATTGTAGACAAATCCCCAAAATATAACACACACACTTATATACAGCTGCCACCTTATTTTCAGACATCTGGAGGGACCTATTTTTTGTGTATTAGAGAAATATAATTAAAACAATCCAATAAGCTAATTAATACTACCCCTCACAGTTACTAGGAGACAGATTCTCCAGTTCAAGTTTGTTATGCAGTGCATTAAGTGGTGCAAAATGGAGATAGTTAGTCGAGAAAGCCTTGTGTAGTCATGTTGTCTTCCTTCAGACATTTTCTAAAATATGGCTATCCTTTGGTGACCAAAACTCCACATCCATAATATATCCTTGTTATAGCTTTATATAGTTGAATCACATCCTTTGCTTTACAATTTATTCAGATTTATATAAGCTAATAATCTTTTTTCCTTTAATTGTGGATATCAGAAATGGTGTCCAAAATTTCAAATCATCATAGAATCAGAGCTGGAAGAGACCTCAGAAGGCCATCAAGTCCAGCCCCCTGCACAAGGCAGGATCAATCCCAATTAAATCAACCCAGCCAGAGCTTTGTCAAGCCGGGACTTAAACACCTCTAGGGATGGAGACTGCACTACTTCCCTAGGTAGCCCATTCAAATGCTTCATCACCCTCCTAGTGAAATAGTTTTTCCTAATATCCAACCCGGACCTCTCCCACCGCAACTTGAGACCATTGTTTCTTGTTCTGCCATCCATCACTACTGTGAACAGCCTTTCTCCAGCCACTTTGGAACCTCCCTTCAGGAAGTTGAAGGCTGTTATCAACCCCCCCTCACTCTTCTCTTCTGCAGACTAAATAGACCCAACTCCCTCAACCTCGCCTCATAGGTCATATTCTCCAGCCTCCTAATCATTTTGGTTCCCCTCCACTGGACCCTTGCCAATGCATCCAAATCCTTCCTGTAATTGGGGGCCCAGGACTGGACACAATACTCCAGATGTGGCCTCACCAGAGCAGAGTAAAGAGGAATAATCACATCTCTGGATCGACTGGCAATGCTCCTCTTAATGCAACCTAGTATGCTATTAGCCTTCTTGGTTACAACGGCACACTGTTGACTCATGTCCAGCTTCTCATCCACTGTAACCCCCTGCTTCTTTTCTACAGAACTGATACTTGGTCCCCAGCCTGTAACAATGCTTGGGATTCTTCCATCCCAAGTGCAGGACTCTACACTTGTCCTTGTTGAACCTCATCAGATTTCTTGTGGCCCAATCCTCCAATTTGTCTCAGTCACTCTGGACTCTATCCTTTCCCTCCAGCGTGTCTACCTCTCCCCCTAGCTTAGTGTAATCTACAAACTTGCTGAGGGTGCAACTATTACAGTTCATAAATCCTTTTGCTCCCTAGATCACTCTAACCTTGGACCATTTAATGTAACCTAGGCCTGGTCTACACTGGGAGTTTAGACTGGATACGTTCAATTAGGTAGATTTTCTAAACGAGTCCACACCAACAACCCTGTTCCATTGACTTTAAGAATCATTTAAGTCACTTTTGGTACTCCTGCTTTTCACGAGGATTAATGCTAAATTCAACCTTGCATGGTTAACTTTATGGTAGTGCAACTATCCTTTTGCAAATATCTTGCTGCAATACAAATAAATCTGATTATTTTTTTCTGTCCTTTTTGGAAAAAGTCTATCGGATTAGTCAAACTAAGTTTTACTTTAAAACTGTAAATTTATGTGCTGACTGCTCTCAGCAAGAAACTCACCATCTTATCCCTTATTAATGACTCTAGTATATTTTCTAAAATTGAATTCAGTCGTCTTATTGGTCTAGCATTTCCTGTTTTCCATCTATTCACTTAATCAAGAATAAGCATAACATCAGTCTTTGTACTATTCTTTCTGTGATCTTAAAGTGGTGGTTCATCTTCTTTCCTGATGTTATTGTGCCTTCTTCAGATATATTGTTCTCTGATTATGATGACAGGCGTGTGTATAATATCATATCCCTTATAATTTTTCCTGCAAATTTGTTTGAATTTCAAATAATATCTTTGCCTTCTTGAAGGATTTGTCTCTTTAGACATACACACCTCAGTTCTATTTCCAGCACTTAGGCCTATGCCTCAGTCTCCTACCCTGTAAAGTGGACATAAATGATGCTAACTACTTTTGTACACTTTGAAATCTATGGATGAAAGGTGCTATAGAAGAACTAACTATTACTATTATTTTAAACATTTTTCTCAGTCTTTTCTAGCTCAACTCACTCTTTAACTTCTTTAATGTTGCCAGAATGTAATCTCTGACACACAGTACTACCCAGTTCCTTTCCACACACTTATATTTTTCTATCTAAAGTAGATTCTCTGCTCTTTGGCTTAGTTTATAAACCTCAGAGTATAGTAAAACATATACAATTGAGCCATACCAATTTGAAAGATGCTAAGGATATATATGAACAAATAAATTTAAGCTTGAAATATTTAGGTAACAGCTTGAGATTCTTAAATTATCAGTATTATAAATATTTACAAACAAGCAATGCACTATTTGCTGTTAGTTCAGAAAAGAGATGGGAAATCTGATCTTAATTTCCTTCAAGTTTACTATTTATAAAGGAACAGTTTTTAAATGTGTTACTGTTATCAGTTGCTCATTATTAATTATCCACCATTCTAAAAACCTTTAAGTACAATATATTTCTGAAATTTGAGTTCTTTTCACTGAATTTCTTTTCATTTATTTGTTGATTCTGAGGATTAAATTTGGAATGAAAATTGTTCCCAGATAAATTTCTGCTCCTGTGAAAAATATATTATGATATAGTTTAGCTAAGATCATTAATTAATAGTTTGCCAGTCTTCTGCATAATTAAAAGTATTTTATAGTTGAGATATGATACAATGCCAATTTACTGAAGGTACAATTATATACACAGGGAGACCTAGAAAAAAAATGTATGAGTTTCTGGTGGTGAAGAAAAGGAAAAAAAGTTTTCACCCATTTTTTTAGAGGTCGAAAAGTAATCTATCTTGTTCAAATGGATTTTACTGAATTTTAATCAAAGCATAATTACTGAGAAACATCTTATCCTCCTGTGACTGGGTGGACTAGGCTCCAATGGAGGTTGGAGGCCTGGCCACATCCTACCCCAGTGACAGGAGCAGAAGAGAGGTCCTCCAAGAAGGACAGAGTGGCAGCCTTTGTGGCGGGCAATCAGGGTGCAGTAGGCGAATATAAAAGAAGCTGCTGGGCTAGGGCCTGGCAGTTCCTTGCTGGAGCTCACCCCAGGTAGACATGAGGGCTGGCTGGGAGAACAGCAGCACTCCAGGCATCTCTGAGTGGAAGCTGGACTTCAGACCTGGTCAGACCAGGTCCAGTGGAGGAAGATTAGCTTGTAAGCCAACAACACCTGGCAGAACCCTGGACAGAGTCCAGGGGGAACTTGACCACAAAGCCTGAGAGAAAAAGCTGGACAGAGCAGCTGCCCAGGGAACATGACAGCTACTGACTAGATACATGGCAGGAATTGCTACTTACAGGATCCCTGGGCCGGGACCCAGAGGAGTGGGTGTGCCTGGGTCCCCCACAATTCCTAGCAGCCACAACAGAGGGTAGGAAGAGATCTGGTCCCAGGCCATATACCGGACACTTTCTCTTCTACAGACAGCCAGGCAGAGCGACTGCAAAACTCCCCTTGGCCACAGAGGGGTGCTCATAAGAAGGGTGGAGCCCTTTACACTTAATCTTTTACAATACTCAATATTTTGGAAGTAAACATGATTTATGGTATTTATAGCTTTATATAAGCAATATTTTTCTCACTTATGACAGCAATGCACAGCAATAATATAATCTTTTAAACAACATTCCCTGCAATTTAATAAGAACTGTACTAAATTAATGCTATCTTTTCTACCCTGTGTCTTTGGGTCTAATTAAACTCACAAAACTCCAAATGAAGTTAACGAGAATTTTGAGGGTATAAGGAATGCAGGATTAGGCCCCATACTTTGGTGGGTTTTGCACTTGTCTCTCTTTCCAAGGATACTTGATAACTTAGTGGATACCTTAATGAATTATTTTTCACTTCATACTCAGCCACATATGATTTTTTAATGGAATAAAACTTACGAAACTTGTAAAGCTGAATTAATTTCCTTGAGTAGCTCTTGGGTCTTATTAAAATCTGCGAGCATGCTTTGTTTCTCTCTGATGTGGTCTGCTGTCATGACATCCAGCTCTTTCTCATGTTTCTTGCTTAAATCTTGCTCATGTATCCTGTTTAATTTATTTTTGGTTAAAAAAAAGTTATTCTAACATCAGTCTGCTTTGTTCATCACGATTTTCTGACAGGTTTGAGATGGCTTTTTGTACAACACCAAATAACACTGTCAGCAATTACTGAATCAGTAAATCCTGTTACTTACTTTTCTCTACATTTCAAGCTTATTTCATGGAAAAGTCATCTCCTTTAATGCTTTTCTTTAAATAAACACAATGAGTTTCAAACAACATTTAAGAGGATTTTAGTTAAAGCTGGCCAAAATCTGTTATTAAAATTACAGCTCAACCATATAATAGTATCTACTTACATTACCTCCTGGCAGAGGTTAAATGATATACAATATCACATGACTAAATATCTAAACTAACATTCCACAAAGAGTCAAGAATCTCTGACAAACATTAGTGGTTCAGATTAATCAACAGGATAAAACATTAGTTTAGAATAGAAAAATTCATACCTAATCTGTTGGTTGGATTCACTGCGTATTCTGAGAACCTCTTTCCCCTTAAATTCCAGTTCTTTGGTTAGGGCACTTATATTCTCATGCAGAGTCAGAACCTCCTTATCTAATTCAGATATATGATGGTCACGATGTTTGAGTTCTTCGTGTAGGTCTGATACTCGGCACAAAAATTCCTTTTCCTAATAAACAAATATCAAGAGCACAGAAGATAATTTAATATGTAACTGTTTCAAATGGAAAATACTTGCCTCAGGATGATTATAACAGATTACTTTTTCATTTGTTTTAGACTTTTAATTTATAATTAACTGTGTTTAAATATAAAGTATAAGTTTAAAAAGTCATTATCAAAATCCTGATAAAGTAAACTGGAGATCAAAACATTTTCTATTGTGAAAGAATAGAAAAAAGACTCTCACTCACCGATGTGTGAAAGAAGTCTATGTATCAATATGTTGTGGGAGAGGAAAAAATCCCCTACAATTAAGGTTATACAAGCTGTTTCATTCTAAAAAGTGAGAATTTTTTTTTTTGGCTAAAAGTAAGTATGACATATTTGTTCTTAGCCTTGATACTCTTATTTTTATGTATTTGGTTTGAATACAGTTCAAGAAAAGCTCAGCAATTTTCAAGGATAAGGAAAGTAAAAAAAAGCCTGTTTTGTAATTATAAAAAAAATGTGCAACTTGAACAGTTCTAGCATATTTGTGTGGAATGGTAGAATTCTGATACATGGAATGGTCACAGACCTTTGGTCTTTTGAAAAGGCAACCCACAACTTGAAATTTTGTTTTTTTGCAACCCACCTGGGATCCAAATTCAGGTAGGGGATGGAAAAAAAATCACAGACCAGCATTCTTGTTCTCTGCCACTTCTTTGCCCCATTGAGGGAGCCCTAACACCCTGCAGCAGCACCCTCTTCCCTGGTACCTCAGCCCTAGTTCCAGACAAGTGCTGAGAGGATGCCCTGGGACAGGGGATGGTGGACAGCAAGACCACCCAGTACTCACTCCACAGCAAAAGTTCCTGTCCTATGAGACTGGGTCCAGCTTTCTGCTCCAGCCATTGTGAACTTGCTCACAGGGTCAAAGCATCACACAAGTTTGCCTAACCACCCTCTATCATGATGGAGATGGGAGTGGAGGAAAAAATTTGAGTGAATGTCTCCTTCCATATGATCAATGAAAGTGCATATGGAATGCATGAAGCTATGATTCAGCATACTCTCTCTACCTTATTCAGACAGGCACTTAAACTTATTTATTGGTAAACGGGACACTCTTAAGCATGTGTTTAAACATTTTGGAGTTCTGTTTACCGAACAGTTGCATTTTCATTTTTCTTTTAAAAGAATCACCTTGAAAAATCCATTTACATGACACTATATTAAAAAGCTATGCTTCAGAAACATTCAATATTCATCAAATGGGAGAGTTAAGATTGCATTAACAACTTGAACTCTTTCTTCTTCTGTATACATTGTATATAATCTTTAATTCATTCAGGACAAAGATTGGATAATGAATGAGTTAAAGTTGTGCAAAAAATGAGACTGGCATCCTGCCCATTCTCTAATGTTTGAGGCATGGGACAACAAAAGGCAATGACTATAAAAATAAATACTAAATAACTGCTTCTTGCACTGAGCATTGTTCATCCTGTACACTGAATGAGACATGGGTTCTGAAGAGAAATATAGTATGCAATCATATAATTAAAGACTGTACAATAAACCTACACGTGAGGACAGAATGAAAGTTGCCTGGAAAATCTTAATATTATTTACAGTTATTTAAGAGTCATCTCTGTGCATTCATATTTGTTGAATATTGTGGCCCCGGTGTTGACTTATGGAACTGCCTTGAAAAAGTGATACCCGTAATGGGATACACAAGGAATTTCATCTGACAGTGATGTTATAAGCCTACTGTATGTCCATAAGAGAATGCACCTCCAAACCAACTTGGTTCTCTCTCAGATTGGAGAGAACTGACAATATATTCAACCCTAACTTAGGGGAAAGACAGGAAGGTAGTGTCAATGCAGAGGCGATCATCACAGAACTCCCAATAAGTAACTTCGGGTATGTCTACACTACCCTGCTAGTTCGAACTAGCAGGGGTAATGTAGTCATCCGCAATTGCAAATGAAGCCCGGGATTTGAATTTCCCGGGCTTCATTTGCATGAAGCCGGCTGGCGCCATTTTTAAATGCCGGCTAGTTCGAACCCCGTGCCGCGCGACTACACGCGGCACAGAGTAGCTAGTTTGGATTAGGCTTCTAATCCGAACTAGCTGTACTCCTCATGGAATGAAATTGAGACTGTACAGTCACTTGGAATTGATACTACTGAAAAATCTGAAGTGGGCTCCTAATTTTTTTTTTTTTTTTTTTTTTTAAACAGAAATTGAAAAATTGAAGTGACAATCATAAACTGCTACTGAATTGGGCATGCAGACTTCCCGTACAATGCATGGAGCGACATCAGCACCAAAGAATGGGATTCAAAAAAAGCTAGTACACTGAGTGGGGAGTGGAGGGAATGGATTAAATTCTACCCCTCAGAAGAACGTAGGTGCCTCACCACAGGCCAAAAGGAAGTGCCTTTCTCTAGTCAGGATTCACAGCTGCAGACCCTCTCCTGGATTTAGGTATCTAAGCTCTTTTTTGAAAGAGTAAAAATGACTTTGTATTCCCAGGGTTAAGGCATTCACCTGGGATGTGGGAGACCCTTGCCCATTCATCCTCCTTCAATTCATATTTAAATTATTTAGACACAATGGAACAGCTTCAACAGGAGACAGAGACATGTTCCAGAATATCACCTTGCTCTGGGGCTAGGACACTGGCATGGCAGGCATAGCAAGTTTAAACCCTTATTTATATCAGGCAGAAGGGTGAATGCCATCGGGATCTCCCACATTTTCTCCCGCTGGGCTAAAAGTTAAAATGAGCACAGCACCACTATCTCTACCTTCTCCTCTGGCAGTTTTGTATGGGTTTAAGTATATTCTTAGAACACCAACAGGATCAAGCTCCACAGGCAAGACACTGGGTAATTCAAGGAATCTGCTAAAATTTAGGCATGAGTTACGTGTCTAGGCATCTAGAGCAGGGCTGGGCAATAATTTTTGAAAGGGGGCCCACTTCACCAAGTTCAGAAGTGTCCGTGGGCGGACTCGGAAGGGGCAGGGCCATGTGCTGTGAAAAGATGCCAATATGTTTTTACACAACAATATGTTGTCTAACAGCCCCAGGGAACAGGAGAGCACTTGAAATAGAAACAACTGAGAGGGCTTACAGCTCCCCTCACCTCTAGTGCGTTGCTGGGCACAGTGATCCCTTTCAGCTGTTTCTATTTAAAGGGTTGGCCCCTTCCCTACCATTGCCCTGCAGTTGCTGGGAACAGGAGAGCCCTTTAAATAGAGACAGCTGACAGGGCTCGTAGCTCTCGACTCCTCTAGTGCCTTTGCTAGGGAGCCAGAGAACCCCAGCCCTTTCAACTGTTTTTATTTAAAGGGCTTGCACCTTCCCCTCCCCTGCTACCCAAGGCTGGGGAAGACGCGAGCCCTTTAAACAAAAGCAGCAAGAAGGGCTCTTGCCCCTCTCCCACTCCTAGGCAATGAGCTAGAGGGCAGGGCCTGAAACTGCCTCACGGGCTGGATCAAAGCCCTAGACAGGCCGGATCGGCCCACTGAAAGGCTTTTGCCCACCCATGACCTAGAGTGAAGTGGCTGAGCACATACCTGCTAGTAGAACTGTAGGCCTTTAGGGATTTTGGGTAGCTACAGAATTAGATACCACCTTAATGGGAGTTTTGAAGTTTTCTATAAAACTTACATGTTGGATTTAGGTTCCTAGAGCAAGAGTGGCTCCATAGAAAGCATTGTTTTCCTTTTGAAGTCTTGCTAATAGAAAGTCTAGAAGCTTAACTTTAATGGGAAATAAAACTTTTTCCCGCTGAGTCCAGTTGAACAATTCTGAATTTGAAGTGTGATTTATAGACTTGACTTGGGGTTAGTTTAAGACTCCCAATTAGGTTTGTATATGAGGGCAGGAAAAAGAAAAAGAGGTGGCATATTAGGCAAATATACAACCTGGCTTGATAAAGACCCTGGCTGGGATGATTTATTTGGATTTGGTCCTGCTTCGAAAAGGGGGTTGGACTAAGTAACTGCCTGAGGCAGAGGTGGACAAAAGGAAGCTAGCAGGCTGGATCTGGCCTGCCAAACCACCGGATCTAGCCCTCAGCTGCCTCCTGGAACCCCTAAGCACAGTGCAGCTGCAGCTGCTTTAAATGTGGTTAATCTATGCTGGGGAGTGAGGAGAAACTGAGAAATTTTGCTGGAGGCAGGTGCACTCAATGAAGCCATCTCCCTTCCTCCCTCCCTGCCCTTCCCCCCGTCCCATCCAGAGCAGAGCCAGGTGGAGCAGATTGCCAATGGAGCTCAGGTTTCCGCAAGGCTGCTGGCTGGGAGCTATTTAGGTCAGTGTTTCTGAAAGGTACCACGGAAACACTTTCAGAAACACTTTAACTGGCTACCCCAGTTTGTTTATGTACCTGCGCCGTGGCCACAGAGCTTCGCAGTTCCCCCTGGCTCCGTTTCCTCCTTTGTAGCCAAGGGGAGCCATGGAAAGCGGTGGCCTGGCCCACGCTGCTTCCAATAGCTCCCCTTGGCTGCAAAGGACAAAACGGAGCCAATGGGAACCGTGAGGCTCCATGGCTGCGGCACCGGTACGTAAACAAACTGGGGCAGCCAGTTAAAATGTTTCCGCAGTACACTTTCAGAAACACTGGCCTAGGTAAGCGCCTCACAGCCAGAGTCTGTATCTGACACCCACCTTCTCTGCTCACCAACTATCTGCCCCAGGCCACCACCATCCAAACCCTCTGTATCTCTTTCCCCTTTTTTCCCAGGTCACAATTCCCTCCCAGACCCTGAACCCTCCTAAACCCATTTCACCAGGTCAAAATCCTTTCCTGCACCTATACCCCTCCCTGACTCTGTACCCCACTCTCCTGTACCAGGTTATCACCCAAATCCTCTACACCCCCTTCATCCAGGTCACAACTTCCTCCCAGATCCTGCACCCCCAACTAAAGCCCCTCCCCCCAGACCAGAATCTTCTCCTGCACCCATACCCTCTTCTGGACTCCGCACCCCAAGCCTCTGACCCAGATCACAACCCCTTTCTTCCCCCAAACTCCCTCTCAGACTCCACACACCCTCCTGCACCCCAGTTCCCCAACCCAAGCTCCCTTCTGCATCCAATGCAGCCCTTGCTAAAATCTTGGAGTGGCCCCTCCATTAAAAATTATTGCCCAGCCTTGGCCTGAGGTCTCTTCCAACCCTAATCTTCTATGAATCTATAACTGGGGAAGGAGCATTGTCCAGCTTTGACTGCCTTTCAAAGATTAAAGTCTATAGCGTCTCAGAGGGAGAAAGTGTTATTTCCCATTAAAGTTAATCTTCTAGACTTTCTTAGTCTAACTCAGCTACCCCCTTAAGCTTATAGTACATTTATGCTCTCCAGTTAATACAAAACAAATTCTAAATATACCACTTTACATACAGTTACCATTAATGATTATTTACCTGTCGTCTGCTGAGTTCTATACTTCTTTCAAGTTCCATTTTAGCAGCTACCAATTCTTGTTGATGGTTGTGTCTTAGTTGATCAATTGCTGCTGCATGTTGATGATTTAACTCTGAGCGCAAAGAAGCTAGTTACCATAATTAAAGGAAAAATATTTATTTTGTAAAAATTATTGTTAATTAACATAATACAACTCTGAAAACATATTACTGCTCACCTAATAAAAGAAGAGAGAGAAAATTACTTGTATAAATTAATATTAAATGTATGTTGAACTTTTCATGTCAGCTATCTTCCATCTTAAGCAAAGTCAGGCTTGTTCAACACTAGAATAGGTGATGTGTTGCAGGAAAATGTACTGGTAACTCAGTACACTTGTTCTTAAAGTGTTTTCTATTCGGAAAAATACTTATGTAAAAATGGGATTAGATACAACACATCTACTCCCTGTGCACATTCACAGTCATGTCTGCTTACCTGAGTGACAGAGTACTTGCAAAACTACCATGGAAGTTTACCAGCTTAGGTACAAAACCTGCTTGACCCTATTTTACTATGACTGATGATGGAAAAAAATCATTCCAATTAATGACATTTTATTTGAAGAAAAAAAATGTTCTTCAACCTTATGAGTGGACAAGCAGAATTTTGACATACCAAGCCATGGAAAACAGATGGATGATATTCCAGTTTATACATCAACAACAGAAATGTTAACTAAGGTCCAAGTGCAGCCAAAATTGTTATACTCTTAGTTATAATTGTGTGGTAATGGGTAAGAACAAGTTTTTCTATCTGTCACCTTTATAAATTCAGCTTGGATTCTCTCAGCCAAAATGGATTCTTATGCATTATCACTATCATTATGTAGCTGACACTAAAGCTAAGGGGATAGGTAGATACGCTGGAGGGCAGGGATAGGGTCCAGAATGACCTAGACAGATTAGAGGATTGGGCCAAAAAAATCTGATGAGGTTCAACAAGGACAAGTGTAGAGTCCTGCACTTGGGACGAAAGAATCCCAAGCCTTGTTACAGACCGGGGACTGACTGGCTAAGTAGCAGTTCTGTAGAAAAGGACCTGGGGATTACAGTGGATGAGAAGCTGGATATGAGTCAACAGTAGCCAAGAAGGCTAATGGCATATTGGGTCGCATTAGGAGGAGCATTGCCAGCAGATCTAGAGAAGTGATTATTCCCCTTTATTTGGCTCTGGTGAGGACACATCTGGAGTATTGTGTCCAGTTCTGGGCCCCCCACTATAGAAAGGATATGGACACATTGGAGAGGGTCCAGTGGAGGACGACCAAAATGATTAGGGGGCTGGAGCCCATGACCAATGAGGAGAAACTGAGGGATTTGGGTTTGTTTAGTCTGCAGAAGAGAAGAGTGAAAGGGGATTTGATAGCAGCCTTCAACTTCCTGAAGGGAGGTTCCAAAGAGGATGGAGAAAGGCTGTTCACGGTAGTGACGGATGGCAGAACAAGGAGCAATGGTCTCAAGCTACAGTGGGGGAGGTCTAGGTTGGATATTAGGAAAAACTGTTTCACTAGGAGGGTGGTGAAGTACTGGTATGGGTTATGTAGGGAGGTGGTGGAATCTCCATCCCTAGAGGTTGTTAAGTCTTGGCTTGACAAAGCCTTGGCTGGGTTGATTTAGTTGGGATTGGTCCTGCATTGAGGGCCTCCTGAGGTCTCTTCCAGCCCTATGATTCTATCACTAAGGCTCAGTGTCTGTCACAGAAAGTCACGGATTCCATGACTTTCTGCAACCTTTGTGGCTTCTACAGTGGCCAATGTGGCTAACCCCAGGGCCACTCAAACAGAACACAGGGCTGTCCTACCTGTAGAGCCTGATCCTGTTGGTGTTCTTAGAGTACACTTTAACTTTAAGGGGACCAGCCACATTGGCTATTGCTCAGGTGGCCTAGGGCAGCTGGCACCAAAGAATGCCTGAGCAGCAGTCACAAGAGTTGTGGAAACAGCGGGAGGTGGGTGGAAGCAGTGGCTCCAAGCATCAGTTGGGGGCTGGGGAAGAGAAGCTGAGGGTGAGGGCCAGCTGCAGTGGCCACTTCCCTGGTGACCACAAGCCCTGGGGAGCATCTGAGCAGAAGCTAGTGTGGCTGGCCTCAGGGACTGCCTGACCAGCAGTTCCGGGGTAGCAGGAGCAGTAGTGAGTTGGCATCCCCAAGGTCAGTCAGAGCAATTGCTGTTCACTGGCCTCTAGCAGCTGGTTCTACTGGTCCCAGGACTCCCATCCCAGAGCAGCACCCTCCCCCCCCACCTAAGATTGAGTCCAGAGCAGATAGAATGTCATGGTCATGAGCCATGATTTTTTTTTTATTGTTTATGACCTACCAGTGACTTTTATTAAAAATATCCATGACTAAATAGTATCTTTAATTATCACTAGGAATAGAGATTCCAGAGGCTAAGTACACCCGCAGTCACATCTGTAGAATCCCATTAACATTACTTGCAAAGATGTAATTGAGAGAGCATCATTTAAAGACAATGAGGTTGCACAGATTTTAATGAAGGCACAGTCTGAATGGCAGAATCCTTAAAACTAGTAATTAAGACTGATAAGAAAAGAACAGACTGATTTTTAGATTCCAGTTTGGAGTTGCAGCGTTGAAAGTTAGAAAAAAAATATATTTAATTCTTCTATATTGATCTTTTTCTGAGATGCCCATCAGGGCCAGATTAAAGAATTTTGGGACAGTTAACTATGGAAGATGGGGCTGCGGCCACCTTCCTTAAACTAGTCAGAGCATATGATACAGAATGAATAAATATGACAACATCTCCATTTTACTAATGTTAAATCAGAGAAGACTGAAAAAATCGAATATGATATATTAATAGATCTAGATTATGTAATATAAATACATATGACAATTTGTTTTTTAAATAAATCAAATACCCACTTTCTCTGTTTTTTGTTGTGGGAAACAATTGGTAAAAGGAGGCTAATTGCTAGGATGTATTTATGAAATGTGATTCCAGTTACAGGGGAAAGGGTTCTTGATGAAAACAGTACTTGCTGAAGATTATAGAAATCAGAAAAAAACAAACATATTAGAATACTGGATATTTGAGCTCCCAAATGAGACACACTTCTGCTTTCTGAAAAAGAAGCAGGACTAAGGGATCACTTTACCAGATCGTAAGTGAAAAGGGATGCTAATCTCAGATGGCTTTGAACACAAGCTGGATTCAAATCAATAAAAATAAAGGAATGACAAACTGATTGTGCGATTGGGCTTCAAGCAGGAAAGCTGGTTCTTTTTCCTCCTGGTAAAAAGTGAGAATATGGGGGGCAGGATGGCTAGCTACCAAGACCCTAAAGAGGATACTGTGTCTCTTATGGCTCATGATACTGATGTCAGCAAGGAAGAACAGGCCAAAGATTAGATGAACCTTCAATAGACCCCTCTTTCTCCCCCCCAAAAATCCAGACCTCTCCCAAATGCCCCCTACTCTTATGTGACTCTCATTATCATGTATATGACAGGAATGGGGGCCCAAGTACAGCTGTCACCTCAGAAACTGCCACTGCTCCACCACAACCCACCTCTTCTCCTCCCAAGTGCCTGCCGAACCCCACTAGCCTGACCCTCCTCTTCTCACAGATGCAAATACTGTCCCTTCTTCCCTCCTGTGAGTCTTGTGCCCTTGATCCATAAGCCCTTACACCCACTCCCTTCCAGAAGTCTCAGACCAGGGAGCTCCCCTGTTGTCCCCTCCCAAGCTCTAAGTAACCAATGCGCCCCTGTGGCCTTGCTGCTTACACCTCTCTGCTCATGAGTCTTGGGTCTGTCTTGTCTTCTGGCAACAAGAGGAGCAGGAGTTGCCAATTAGTAGAGCCCTGCATGGATAGACATGATTACCCACAGATGTGGATATCTGCAAATAGACATTAACATCCACTGATCAACAGGGCTCTACTCCCAGCAGACCCTGCGGCCAAAGGAGAAGAATATGATCCCACCACTCCCAGGCGTCAATGTCCCATGCTGGCTGCTCCTCCCAGCTATGCAGCTGCACTGCCCCCAGTCCCACCGCCATTGGGGCTGTATGACCCCAGACAGGAGACATAGCTGTTGGTGGGGCTGCCACATTAGCAGCACTCTCAGAGACCTTATGATCCATGTACTGTAGTAGAAACAGTCACTGACATGCATTACCATACGTGCATACAGCAATGGTTGCTAGTTACAATATGGTTGGGTTTTTTCTGCTGTATCTTAAGAGAAACAAGTGACCCTGTTGTCCTGGATTTGAGGAGTATACATAGCCTGATATGTAATTAAGCAAATTGCAACCATATTATGTGCATTCAGCCACTATAAACTGATAAAATAAAAAACCCACATAGTTAAGTGTTAATTTAAAAACAGGCTTTTAAAACCAAAATCAAATCTAGGTAGTAGTTTTTGCTAATCAATTAAAAAACAACTAAGTCTAAAAACCTTAATGTCTAAAACCCTTACATCTAAATGCTTTTAATATTAAAATTTATTAAAAATTAAAAATAATGTACTAGAGGTCATGATAACATATGTTTTATAAAGACAGTTATAAAAATTAGCCAATAATATACTGTTTAAGTAAGTCTTCTAAACCATCAAATGTTTCTCCTAACAGCCTCTCTCTCCATTGGGTAAGCAACTGGCCATTGCCATTAATTACTCAATATTGTTCCAAACGTTAGGTAAATATCTAAAATGTTCTACATCTACTGCTTATGTTTGTGTGTGTTTAAATCCAATAATTCCAGAATTAAATAACATGCTCACTTGTATTACTCCTTGATCAGATGAAAATTGCTGTGTTCCTATACACTTATTCCTTACACTACCTAAAGTAAAATAGCTAAGTTTCCCCTGTTGGAGGTTCTAAAAGCCCCAGAAACAACCCCTTTAACTCTTCCTGTCTTTAGGCATTACAATCAGCAATGCATGATTAAAAATGGCACACCAGTTAGGAACTGGGCATCTGAAGATCATTAAGTTACAGTGCACATGAAATCCTAGGTATGCATTTGGGCAGATATCCCAAGGTGGGGGCATTACAGTATTTTTGGCATTCTAGCTGGAACAGAGTGCATGTTTGTCTATCTTGGCTGAAAAGCATGCTGACAGCTGAAGCATTGAGGTTTCCTGAGCGATAGCACTAATTGGATGTACTCTAAGGTATAATTAATCCTGGGTAAGGGTGAAATCCTACTTTTTGGCCATGTCACTTGCCTTCCCATTTAAGAGTCATTCTATGCTGAAGTAAACTAATTTTGTAACATTCTAGCTGCTGTTGCATGGAATTTGGATGTAACCTTCAACTAAGATTTGTCATTCATTCTGAAGTTGATTTTTTTGCTAAGACATGTGTCAACTTCACTTATTAAGCATTCTGAGACTCTGGTTACTTAATAGCTGACAACAAGCTCTAGTGCATGCTTTGGTGCTTTTACTGCTTGATTACTTGATCTTTTGCTGTTAACATTTTTGAAATTTAGGTCTTGATCCACTGAAGTAAACGGGAAACTTCAAGTAAAGTATGTCTGCGTTGCAGATGGAAAGTGTGGTTCCCAGCATAGGTAGACAGATTTGAGTTAGCTTGAGTTGACCAGTCTATCCATAAGTCTGTTTACACAAGTCCATAATATACCCACCAATCCAGGTAAAAGTTTTTGTGTGTGTGCACATGCACACTACAACTTAAAGTCTAAGTTAACTCTGCCATGAAGATATACCTTAAGTGGCAGCTTATCTAATCAGATACTATTTAATTCCTATGAGCTGGGTATGACTCTGCATTAAAAGCTTCTTTTGTGCTTAATCTATTTAGGACAGAGTGCTGTGGAAACTTTAGATCTCTTTTGGGACCCTCACATCAGAGAAACAAACATTGGATTCTGTTAAGACAAAATGTTATTCTTTTGATATGTAGCAATATTGCTGCTTCTCTATTTTGTTAATAAAGAAGTCCAAAAAAGGACAGAAAATCTGATTTTACATGAAAGAAGGCGCAATAGAATAAAAAAATATAGGTTTTTAGATGACAGTAGAGATTCATATATAGGACAGAAGGAAACACTGTGATTATCTAATCTGATCTCCTCCTCCCATATAACAAAGGCCAAAGAACTTCTCCAAGTAATTCCTGTTTGAACAAGAACATATCATTTCGAAAAGCATCCAATCTTAATTTAAAAATTGCCAAGGATAGAGGAAAAAAATATATTCTCCATGACTCATGGTAAATTGTTCCAATAATTAGTGGAGAATATATTTTTTTCCTCTATGACTCATGGTAAATTGTTCCAATAATTAGTTATCCCACCTGTTAAAATGTTATGCCTTATTTTGAGTCTGAATTTGTCTAGCTTCAATTTCCAGTCAGTGGATTTTGTTATACCTTTGACTGCTGGAATGAAGAACCCTGTCAAATTCCTGCACTACCAAATTTCTGTAGGGTATTTACACACTGTGATCATATAATTCCTTAACCTGCTCTTTGTTAAGGAAAACAGACTCAACTCCTTCAGTTTATCACTATGAGGTGTGTTTTCTAGTCCTTTAATCATTCTTGGGGCTCTTCTCTAAATTCTCTCTAGTTTATCAACATCCCTCTTCTAAAAGGGCTGATGAGAAAAAAAAAACAAACAAAAAAAACCAGTTCACTGACCTATTTAAACAACAGCATCCAAAACCAAAACTTTTATATTTATAGATTCAAAGTGAGGTTCATGGCTCTAAGGTTAGTTAAACTCCAGGTTACCTTAAAAAGATAGAGAGAGCCTACTGATTAGTAATGTGGTGCAGCTAATTGCACCACAAATTCCATGACTACAGCTCCCTGTTTTTCAATACACTTAAAATATGTCCATACTGAGCTCAGATAATACCTTTGAGCTTTAAGGAGACATATCCAAACTACCTCTGACCAAGCAAGTGCACTAAAAATAGAAGTTTGTCTTCAGTAATGCAAGTGATGGGATGGGCTAGTCAACCCAAGTATTAATCTGATGTCTTAGACAGCATTTTATTCAGAGCAGCTAGTCTCCCATGCTGCAGCAGCCACACTTCTATTTTTAGCATGCTAGTTTGATCAGAACAAATATGACCCCTTGAGCTGGAATTCATACCTTCCAGCTCTAGTACTGACATACCTTTTGTCAAGATGAAATACTATCCTTTTGTGATGTGGGAGGGCATTCCAAGGTACATAAAATTTTGCAAGATTATCAGGAAATCATTGGTTCACAAAAATATTCAGTTTCTGGACTGACTGGAGCAACAGACCATTTCTGAGTTCACTTTCTGTGGAGATAACATTATTTCTTTGTTTGCTCAAAGATTGTCTTTGATTCTAGTGTCTGGTACTGCTCAATAGAACCATGAAAGAGAGGTGCAACAGAAGAATGGCATTGTTCAGATTCCCTCCTTCAACAATGAACAGCAAATCCTCTCTTATTTTTAATGAGTCTAAGGAAAGGAGTGGGGATAATGTTAGATGTTCTGTCATATTCCTGTAACAAGCAGATAACCTCCCAACACATTTCACAAAAGGACCTCTTGCTCCAGATAATCCCTGTCCAAGGAATTGAAGTTGGCATTATTCCTGATACCTTGCTATCGAGGATCAGAAAGGAGATTCTGGCTAGTGTTATGGAACAAACATTAATGAAGTCTATAGGAGATCTGTCTGTGTGAGAAGACTAGAGGTAACCTGACTTTGATAAAGTGCTGAAAAAAATGGAATGAAAATGGTAGCGCCCAAAGCAGAAAGAAAGTAGTGGGCTCAAGTGAAACATACTGCTGGTGTCTAATTGATAAACATTTCTGCACGTACATTGTTGTTTTGGTCTATTCACTAAGTATAAGCAGCAAGGGAAGTTTAGGTTGGACATTAGGAAAAAGTTCCTAACTGTCAGGGTGGTTAAACACTGGAATAAATTGCCTAGGGTGGTTGTGGAATCTCCATCTCTGGAGATATTTAAGAGTAGGTTAGATAAATGTCTATCGGGGATGGTCTAGACAGTACTGGGTCCTGCCATGAGGGCAGGGGACTGGATTTGATGACCTCTCAAGGTGCTTTCCAGTCCTAATAGTCTATGATTATACAGATAAAGTGTTACCTTACCAGAAGCTGCTAAAGAAATGGCCATCTTATACTAAAATGAAGTCTTGCATCTATGTACATAATCATAAATTTGAAATCTATTTTTGATTAGTTTTTAAGGGAGTACTGAAGCTGCTGTCATTGGTGGTGGAGAGGCATGGGGGACGCACGAAAATGGCTAGTGTAGTGTAGCTGTACATGCTAGCCATTTTTACACTTTCCCCATTGCCTTTGTACAATCAATTACACTAGCTTCAGTATTCCCTTAATCATTTCTTCTCACAGGCATCTCTGTCGTCTTCTGCAACTTACGTGTCCATTTTTTTCCCAGCAAGTCTATCCACCAACCCACCTAAACTTACCTCATTCAAATGGCTTCTAAAAGCTAATTCCTGCCATCTAATCAGTTGAAAGAGTCAGAAAGGGAAAAAGTTCCTTAAACTGAAAACCACACAAACAACTCAGAACCCTCAAAATATGCATGTGTATTATGGAGTAAATTTCATGATTTGTTCTTTCCCTCAGAGTCTATAATCATCACTTGTTCTGTTGTACTAAATTTAGATTGTGTACTCTTTGAGGAAGTCACCAAATCTTTAATCTGTTTTGTGTGGTGCCTAGCAATTCATGTGGTCTCAAAACAAATAATGATATCTATCTATATATCAAATATAAAAAGTCATGGAATCCAGTCATGTACAAGCTTATTTTTTAGTAATCATATTCCTTAACCAAGCTAAAACTATGGATCTCTCTAGTTAAGGTCCTGTCTATGCTAAATTACAGATTGATTTGTAATACACTATAGATTAGTAATGAGCAATAAGTACTTACTGAGTCATCTGACTAAAATGTTTTTGCAGATGGATTCTTAGTGTCTTTATTTTTCCACTATTATATGTATATACTGAAACTGTTCTATTTCATTGATACTTTCTTTAACTTTCTCCATCATAAAAAGTTTCAGAGGGGTAGCCATGTTAGTCTGTTACTTTAAAAACAATGAGTAGTCCTCCTTTGGTACCTTAGAAACTAACAAAAATATGTAGGATCATGAGTTTTCATGGGTAAGGCCCACTTCAATTCTTTTGTTGGTCTCCAGCATGCCACAGGACTACTCATTTCTCCATCATGAAATTCTGGTTGCTGAAACATCACTAACACATTCAGTGGTGGATTTTTTCCAACGGTTCAGTTGATCTACCTGCTCTCATTGAACTCTAATATCTGTTGATTTCAATACAATAGGCCAATACTGAGTGCTTTTGAAAATCCCTATCTACAACTTTATATTTATTCAAATTATTTACCTTCTTTATTCCTAATGTCATTCTTAGTTTTATACTATTTTTCACTTATAGTGCTATGGAAATTGTGAAAAGTGCTTTATGTCAAAAGTTATATTAATTATGCAAAAGGTAATAATATTTTCTGATGTATTTTACACTAGCTTAAAAATACTATACCCAGCATTGCTTTCCCTTCATCTTCCAGCTCAAATCGAAGTGTCTGAAGTTCCTGTTCCATTTCCAATTTGAAACCTTCCATCGCTTGTTTGTGTGTTTCTTTCAGAGTCTGAAGTTCTTCTGAATGTTTTTGTTGTAAATGCTCTTCTAGTTCCTATGAAATAAAAAAAAAAAAGACTTTTATTACAGAGTAAAACAGTGCATAAAATATTTAACAATGAAGTAACAGGAAAGATTCTCTTTAAAAATGACAAAAATGCATGTATTATTAAAAACACCTCCATTTATCATTTTAAAAAGCCACTGAAACACTAAACCATCATTAAAAATGTAATCTTTATACTATTACCACAAATTAAAGTGCCATAGAGTACTTGATTCTTAGTCTTTCCCATCACTGATGATTACTAGTATGTTTTAATATAAAGAGTAAGTACTGTACTCTACTCCCAATTTGTGCATGGAATAAAGGCAGGCTACAATCACCATGAATACCCAAAATTTAAGTTTCTAAAGTCATTTATTGTTCGGGTAGTTTTGGTCCCCTGTGAACAAAATAGAGTATGAAACCACAATATGATTTCAATGCAACTATTTTTGCATTCATTGTATAATATTTCTAAAATTTGCCCTTTCCTTTCTGTCCCAACAGGCAAAACACTTCTCTGCATTTGTTACCTCCTGCTTTGACTCTCGCGGTCTCCTCTTCATAACTCTGAATGTTCGTAACTCTGAGCACACAGGTTGGACCTCCATGGTCCGGCACCTTTGGGACCTGACCAGTCCCAAACAAGGGGATTTGCTGGACTAGGGGAGGTTCTTCCCCTCCTGGCCCCTGCTAAAACGCTGCCAACTCCCTTCCCCCTGCTAGGTCTCCAGCTTGCCCCACTGCTGCCTGGTCAGCCGTTACTCCTTGGGCTAGAGCTGAGTAGACTGAGCTCCCTGGCTGCCACCGGGGCCGGAACTGTGTAGCCAGGGCCGGAGTTCCCTGCTACAGCCCAGCTGCTGGGGCCAGATCTCCCAGCTGTGAAGTCACCTCTCCCCCACCACAAAGGGATCTCATCTGAGTCACTGGTACCCCCTGCTACGCTCCTGCCCTGTGGCCAGATCTCCCTATACCTGGACTCTGTGGTCCAAGAACATTTGTGGTTCTGCCGGACCATGGATGCTTCCTGACCAGAGAGTCCTGGTTAAGGGAGGTACAATCTGTAGCAGGACATTTTTAAAAGAAAAATTAGATAATTGGACAAAATATGTAGGTGATATTGATAATGATTAAAATACTAACATGATGCCAAAAGATATAGCAGAGTGCGAAACTTCTAATAGATAATGTCTATTTTATAAAAGAGAAATTTCAGAGAGGCAGCTATGTTAGTGTGTTTCAGAAAAAACAAGGAGTCGGGTGGCACTTTAAAGACTAATACATTTATTAGAGCAAAAGTTTTCATTGGCTACAACTCACTTCCTCAGTCAGTCAGTCTCTCTCATTCATATCTGAGGAAGTAAGATGTAGTTCATGAAAGCTTATGCTCTAATACCTTAATAAATTTGTTAGTGTTTACAGTGCCAATGGACTCCTTGTTTTTATTATAAAGGATGTTATTCAATTTGCCTGCATACTGTTTAATTGTAATAACCATATTACTAAAGCAAGTCACATCCCCTGTAAAAGAGAAATAGATAATGCAAAGCATATTCTTTACTAATTCTCTATGTTTCATATACCGGCACATTCAATCATATAACTGTGGTGTGTCCTATAGGTTTGTCTGAAATATCCAAAAGAGCATGCCTTTTGTTGTTGTTCTTTTGTTTGTTCCATGTTTTGAAATGCAAGGATATGTGCTTCCTTTAGGGACTTGTGCCTTTGCTGATGCTCTTCTTCCAGTTCCTCAAGCTCTTGGGTAAGCCTTTGTCGTTCTTGACTAAATTGGGCCTGTAGTTGTTGCAAGGAACTCTGAGACTGGGAAAGCTGCATCTCCAGATTCTGTTTCAGCAAGGAGATCTAATCCACAAAATAGCAATCAGTAAATCATAAATACAAATGTCAAATCAGGAAAAAATGCTTTCAAAAAGAAATAAATATTTTATAAGAACTTTTGGTGTGAAATTTCTAGAACATATTTCTTAACATCACATTTCTTCATCTGAAATTCAGATAACATATCTACTGGATTGTAACCAAATATCATGGAACTATGAAGAGCATAACACAAGAAAGAAACAGTAACTTATAATTAATTTACATAGTTTACCTCAGAAGTTATAAGAATTAGAGCCCAAAAATTTTGTGAATGATCTCACTGAAAACAGCACCAGTTACAAGGCATTTGATGTTTCGTAAAAGAGCTACGTGTTACCAAAATGTTCTTCAAGATGTTTAATAAAGAAAAAAATTCAAGTGACACTATCAAGGTCTGAGGTCCAACACTGGATATATTGAAATTAACCAAATCTGTGGAGAAGTTTATCTAGCTTATGTTATACAACATATGTTTTTAAAAACATAGTACTTTATCACAACTAATTTAGAGTTCTCATAGTTTTTATTAGATTCATAAAATTAGAATGTTGTTTTCTGGTTCTTCTGGTGACTCTTCCCTAACACCACCACAATTAAACATATTTTTCCTGGAAACTTGTTGACATGATCAACGATATTAGTAGATAAATATATTTGAGTATAAGAGGATTCTCTATAGTCCATGGCAGAGTTCCATTTTCCTTTATTCCAATTGTAAGTTTATACCCCAATTTTAATATCCAGTGGCACAGGCATCATCCTTCCAGACAAAGAAGGTTGTAGTGATGGGATTCACTTTGGATCCAAACAACACAACTCCTTAATTAGACAGCAGGGTTGCTGACAAGGCACCCCAGTACCTACAAGCCTCGGGAACAAGAATATACTAAAAGTTTGTTATAAAAAAGAATTTTGCTCCATTAATTACACAAGAGGGAAAATACAATTGCCAAATGACAAAATATTTAAATTAATGGAGAAAAAACTATTTTTAAGCCTAAGTCCATTAAAGCTGATGAAAAAAACCTGATAGTGTCATTTAATTGTGCACATGCCAAGATTAATTATGAAGTCACTTATAATGTCATAGCAATATATCAATATACTCTGCTATTCTGCAATGAATTGAAACTCACGGCATAAAATTAAGAATAGCATGCGAAGAATAACG